TTATATCTTACAATCAATTTACTCATTATTTATGATGTAACTAACTGTTATTGATATAAAGGAATGAACAGTACAATATTACACAGGAACGCAATTTCAAAATTGATAGACTGATTGTGAGAGATAACTTATGCGGGGATTCGTCACATCGGATACATGTCCGGCGTACAATTTGAATCATCGCTCCCTGCTCTCCAATCCGCCCACGCAAAACCTTTTCTATCCACACGTCCATCGTGTTCGACTGGCTCGATGGCAATAAATCCAGACTTACTCTTTATCCTATCGAGGCTTTGCCCGCCAGAGTGCGAGCCTCTGGCATTGTCGCGGCTATATCACCAGCCAAAACGGACGAGAGGGACGGCGTTGTCGTGCGACAAGACTCGACGGAACCTGAATTAAATTCTGAGATTTATCGCGTCAATAACCGTGTATTAATTTATGATTTTTTGCGGTGAAGAACGTAAATCCACGGGGCACGCCGCCGTTGTGCCAATTGTTTCGCTCTACGTAGCGGCCCAACTAGAGAAATGGGCATAAAGAGGAAACGGCGAAAAGAAAGAGAGTAAGCGCTATACAGAACATACAACAGCTCAAATCTATATCGATAGAACCAGCACAGAGTATATGTGCGCCGTACGGCGTAAGCGATGTGAAGTGTGGGTAACGGCGTATGCGGGCGACTAGCAGCGTGTTCTACATCTAACTTATATTGACCACTCAACATTCCGAGCTCGTAAACTACGACGTTTGCCGACCGTTCGGTGCAAAAGCAATCGGAAACAGTATATCGCGGTTCCAAAAGGCCTTTGATGTCGCGCGCGTATCACCACGAGGGAAAGCATCGTCAATTAAAATTATACGCCCATATTTGTTACTTGGAGCATAACACCGCTAAAAGATTACAAGAGAGAGGGAAAGAGGAAGGAGGGAGAGAGAGAGAGAGAGAGAGAGAGAGAAATGCGCGTCGATTCACCAATTTACAATTTATTTCCAATAAAGATTAATCAACTGGGCTGACGGTTCGTCGTTCGAAATTCGCCTTTCAAATCTTTAATTCATTTCGTGATTTTCCTTGCTTCGGCAAAGGAACACATCGTCGGGTTTGAATTTGTTTAATTACTGCTGCGCTACTAGTAATGTTTCGCATTAGTCATTATAGATTAATTTATTCTCTGCCGTTACTCATTAGGAAGGGTGTACACATGGTACAAATTTTTTCTCACTCTTTTCGCTTCCGCCCAGATACGTCCTTTGATCGATTAATCGTTTTAATTACGGGCGAAACCGCGGCAGGTGTGCATTCAAATTGATGCACAGAGTGGAAGTACCGACTGGTTACAGCCTGAAACGCGCGTAATTCCGCCTTCTCTTTTATTCTCTTTTACGTTCCTTCCTTTTGACAAACCTTCTTTGAAGTCTTCTCTTCCCAAACGAGGTCGTTCTTTTGCCTTTTTTCACTGCCTATTCTTCGCTTTCCATCCGCGTGTATCACAGCGAACATCGTTTTTGCAAGACTTTTCAAACATAACACATTAAATTGTGGTTCTACGCATTATGTATTTAATGACTTGTCTTCGTAAAGCAGCTGAGCATGCTTTTGAGTTTGACAGGTAAACTAAGTAAGTAAGTAGCAAAAGAAACAATGTGTATTAAAATAGAATAGAAGCATTTTAATACAATACTTATCAAGTTTTGTCTAACAAAGTTATCGACTTTTAATTTGTTCACCAGAGACAATGTTTTGCTATCTGTAAAATGCATAACCGTCGCATAAACGTCCTATAGATGTCGTTCAACGATCTATTTCCTAATTACTTGCTGCTCTTCTGCACTTAATCCATCACAAACGAGAAGATAAAGGAAGAGGATCAGTACTGTCATCTTCACGCCGGCAATTTTTTTCTACGAGCAATTAATTCCGTAGTACGCGGAAAGTGTCATATATCAAAGTTCCGCCGTTCCGTCTACATCAATCACCGTGCATAGTTGATAATGGGTACCGCGCGACATAATCTTTTGAAAATTTCCAATTGCGGTCAAGAAAAGTCCAGAGAGCCGACGGATAACGGAAGTGAAAGGAGGGATCGGTATATATGCGGTGCGGAATTTTATTCGCGCTACCCCGCTCTATCGGTCGAAAGAATATTTCCTCGCCTTAATCTCTCGTTGAAACGACTGCAGCCTCCAGGGCCACGTCGTACGTTCCAGTATTCCTAATTTTGTCCGCCGGGCGCTACTGGAATCTTAATTATGAGAAAGAATTCGTCGAGGGTGGTCCGGCAACCCGGTCCCAATTCGCCCAACAATGTCGCCAATACTTTTCTAGAGGATATGAACGTTTCAAAATTCAATTGCGCATGAAACAAATTGAGGTCTCATACGAGTACTGTAATATTGCGATAATGAAGACATAGAGGAAAATGAGAGAATTCTAGAGAAAATAGTAAATATTATTATATACACATGTATGTATTTCAATAACAAAAAAACGTAAGATATATAATTAAGATATATAATTAAAGTAATTACTTAAACTTTAACAATTATTTAACCCGGCGTAAGATAGGTCGGTATGTCATACCCGACACATTGATCTCTTTAACGTTTAAAATTGTTACTAATTTATTAAAATTTTAATAAACATAATTTTCTTATAATTCTGAATATCTTATTTGTAATTTTTATTTAGTGAGAGATCCGTTGTGTCTTATAAAGTACTTTTAGATTTAGATACTTTTAGGTACTTTACCACCTAACTCACGCCGGGTTAAGATATTTAAAGCTTGTTATTAATAAAAAAGAATGTCAGATACGATTTAAAATAAAAGAGCTCTTAATTAAATAATTCTTAATAAAAAACGAGTGTTGAATTTAATACGAAATATTTATCCTAAAATTCTTGATTAATTGAATTTTAATTTTACACACACATTTATATTTATTGCTTATCTTACCGAATATAATATTTATGTTACAGAGATTGCAGAGTTGTCAGAGATCCCCAAACTTTAAAATCTAAAGGATATGGATTTGTTTCGTTCGTCAAAAAAGCGGTAAGTAAGCGATACTCTTAAACTAATTTATTTAGAAAGTAGGAAATTTATCATTATCGTAGCTGAGATAATAAATTGATTCTACCATACGAGCCTTAGCTATGATATTCAAATTTTGCACAGAACACTATCACCTTTATATAATTTCGCACCGTAGGTTATCCAACATATTAAATTATTAGTTGTTAATAAATTATTTTTATTTTTAAGAAATATAAAATTGTAATTTATTAGACACACATAATTTTTAAACACAAAATTTTGTAACTCTGTTATTCATTCATGTTCTATCTCTAAAGCATGAAAAACGTTTCATTTTAGTAGAAGAAATTTCTTTCTATTCAAAAAGTTTAATAAGATAAGTCTGAATATGTATTATATCAATCGATATATCTTAACTACCAAAAATGTACTTATTCCAAATTAACTTTTTGCTTCAATTACCTTGCAGATCTTTAAGAAAACTTTATACATCACGCTTTCTTATAACGTTCTCTTTTATCAAAATGCGATCACTCTCAAGAAAGTCTAAAGGACAGTCATTTTAAAGAAGATTGCAAAACATGCAAAGCTCATCGATTAAAACAACAATGTTCGTAATTCCATTCCTAAAGAATTATAGTAAAAAAATGAAATAACAAATTATTCGGGCACTTAGGTAAGCAAAGAAGATGAAAGATGCATTTTATGTAAATCAGAATTACGGTAGTATAATGACAAGGTGGATAATTTCCTTTCAAGCAGCATTTTAATTATCGCATCTAATCCCGATTGTCTCTAGAATCGAAAAGAACGCAAATATTCCACACAAGGTAATAACTACGAAACCATATCCGCAGTATGTCAAACTTGACGCCGTTCTCTCGGCTTTCGTTGATCAAATAAAAGGGAGGGTCTGACCGTCACGGTTTACAGCATCATTTTTCGGGGCTAAATGGAGAGTGGCCGGAGTTTTAGTGTGACCCGCCAAAATCCGTGACGTAAATCACGGCGAAGTTAGATGTACGGCTGAGTAAAAGAAGGCTTTCCTCCGTTTATGGCGGGGTTATTCGTCGAGGCGCCTGCCCCGAAGGTAGACCCTCTCTTCGTTTCCCCTCTGTTTTAATGTCCTATCGATCTGGACCACCGCCGGCACCTGCCTCACACCCGCGGTATTACTATTGCCGAAGTATAAATTTCCCGAGTGTCTCCGTTAACCTCGAGGAACACGCGAAAATTTCTCCCCTTTCCTACCCGCCGCTATCCCCATCCACCGACCGGTCTTACTGCCACTATATCCTTCGACCGCCGGATACACGTACCTAAATCGCGAACTCTGATCGCCTAGCCTAGCATCTAACATCCTGGCTCTTTTAAGATGTACGACGAAATACGAATTCTCGGGATTCTCGTTTTTCTTCAGAGACGGATTCGAAATCTCAAACACTGCATTTAATCAGCTTTATAATGTCCCGCCGTGCGGTCTTAATATGGTTAGTATTCATAATCGGTTCGTCAATTTCAAGACCGTCTTAACATGCTAATACGGCTGTGTGATTGATTTATGATATCTTAAGACAATTTTAAATAAGAACCGATCTATATATGAATACCAGGCTTTATGTTTCGTAACTTATATATTGCAATATTCATCTCTCGCAGGTGCGATGTTTAATAATAGCAACAGTTCTCTTGACACACGTGTACGTTTCGCGAATGTTACTAATTACTTGAATCTTAATAGATAAATATTCATTCTCTTTGTATTACAAATTGATTTATAATCTGAATGTCAACGAAATACGAATAACCAAGATTTTTAATTTTTTGAAAAGAAAAATATGTAAAACATTTCCAAGAGTGAATATGGTACAATATCGATGTCTATGCGTAGATGGATCCGTCATGTAGTCCAAGCTCTGTTCCTGTTACTAGTTGATAGCCAATGTACTTACACACACTACGTAAGTGCTCGGGTCGTTCTAGTTACTGTCAACTTTTATTACTCTACCACTTGATCGATAAATCGTGCGATATTATGACTCACGACCTTAAATACACAAAAGCATGCCTTCATTCGCATAAATTTGTATTCTCCCAGGTATGTAAACGAAGCAATTAGAACGTCATTTACGGCGCATTGGAAAGCGGTACCTTTGTATGTATTAACGTTATTTATTTACAGCTACAGTCAAAATATTGGATGTATAACAGCCACGTTGACACGTGGCATTGAATATACGCACAGCCATGTAAATAAATAGTCTTTATTTTCTGACGCAATAGGAATATCGTATATAGAGAGTCGCAGAATTTTTAAAACAACAGGTCATATTTTTATTTAGTCATGGAGTCATACAGTTTTTATTAAAAATAGAAACGTTACTTAAGTTTTCTGAATTGTATGAACAAATTAAATAAATAGTTTGAAAATGTTTCAAAGAAATACTTGTTGAAATTTTGTCTTGGAATTTTATTATTTTAACGAACACAAAATTCAATCATGTTACATGTGAGTGGTTATATATACATATATATAATATATATTTTATATATATATATATATATATATATATAAACTCATTATTTATACTATTATATATTCACATTGCAACAAAAATTATTAGCAAACTACTTAATGTAAATTTCTTTTATTAAATATGAAATAACAATATATCTGCTAATATAATATGTAAAATATTTATCATCTTTTAAGAACATTATTAGTCGGGACGCTATAACTAGTTTGATTCACTTATAATATATAATAATTTGTTAAAAATACATCTTTTACTGTGAATTAAAACGTTTAATAAGAAAATTTACAAAACAATAAACATTCAATATAAATGATAGAAAATTTAAAAGAGACAAGCCTAAAGAGGCGAAGTCGATTACAATAAAGCTTTGTACAGTTTGTTTGATTCAGAAGGAAGTTTCGTTAAGGCCACGTAATCCGACGGCACGTTACTCCGTGCTGGGGCATGACTTAATAATGCGTGTAAAACAGTTGGGTGTCGGTAAGCGGCGCTCCCGTCTGTCTATAGCATCGCCGACCGCGGAAGAAATTCGATTTGATGGGTGCTTGGACAGCTCAAACTACCGGCCGGTGGAAAGTGTGGGGAGAAACGAGAGGCAGCTGGTGGTGGTACTTCTGGTACCACGTAAACGCCCTGGTCACGCCGGACGGAAGGAGGCAAGCGGCGGTGGTTTTCAGGGGTTGTGGGTCGAAGAGGCGTCGGGATATCGACCGAAGTTTAGAATCGGCTTAGAACGGGGCATTCGGTCGCCTGAGCTCTATCTAGGCTAACCACGCGAATGTACGGCATCATATCGGGAATGGAGATTCGAATCGGAAATATTTTATCTAGCGGGGTATGCGACGGGGAATAAGGAGCGTGTGCAGAAAAGCTCAGAGAGCCACTGGCGTAGCCCGCGCTGTGGAAGAAAGTAACGACTTGAGATGAGGCAAAGGCAAAGCCGAGGACGCCCCGAATGGCGCAAATGGGTGAAAGTAAAGATCGACAGAGAGTGGACTGTTGCCATAGAAGCTGGAAAGAGGCAAAGACTGTAGAGAGAGAGAGAGAGAGAGAGAGAGAGATAAAGAGAGAAAAAGAGAGAACAAAGTATCTTCCCTTCGCCTCTCATACCCAAAGAGCTTTTCGAACAGTAAACTTTTTCGGGGAATTCCTTGCGTCGAGAATATTTTTAGGTCTCCATCTTCTCAACCATCCTGCGGATCTACCGTCCGAATACTACCGTCAACGATGTCGCGCGACAATGTATGTACAATTTCCGCGCATACAATGTACACGGTGCAAATGACGACGTGTGCCATACCCTATTTCTTACGCGCGAATGCTATGCGTTGCAAATATCACATTATATTACTTTTTTATCTCTTCCGCGAATTTTATCAATATAAAGATTTTTTTTATTATCAATATAAAGATTTTGTTTTTTTATACAATACAAGAATTACGTAATGAATACGTAAGGATCTGGATTGGGCATCGTGAAACCTGTTTCGTTCGAATGTCCATGGATTGTGCAAATAGCTCACATTGCACAGAAATACGTCGACGGCGCTTTCTCCTCTTTGCCAAAGGTGTTCCCGATCCTGCCTTGAGAATCCAATGTCGCAATGGAAAACGTCCCGGATCGCCCGAAGCGGTTCACAAAAATCCGGGGAATCAAGAGTGCAGTCGATCGAATAAAATTTCAAAACGTATATTAAGTTGACCTGGATCGAGGGCCATGCCGGCGGGATACCGCGGCTGAATCAACAATAAGTCGCGGATAATATTGACGTCAACATACCTGTTGGTTTTATCCGCGGTTTTGCGTGTGAATGCGGCGGCATCATCCCGCGTCTCATGCGGATGCCGTCGCGGTTCTTACGACGTCCCGCAATTGTTGTTATAGACATTGCGAAAGACAATAAAGGAGCTTTCGTAGAGGCTATGTGTGCGCGCGACGACGCGTATTTTCATTCGCCTCTCGGTAAAATCCCTTAGAAGCATTTTGTAATACGTAAATACACACACAATTCTGTCTTTTCTGTAATATCACAATTATTATTTATATTTTTTTTTAAATAAAAATCACGTTAATTACATGATGAATTTTACAAAAATATCAGCTATCTTCTTCGTCATTGTATTTCGCATATTTATTTCTATGTTTTTAACGCGTGTTTCAGGGATATAGCATTGTAATGTAAGAATTTTGCAAATTTAACTGTAATCGTATCCGTTCATACACATTCGATAAAGTGTATTATAAAATAAAATGACCGTTTTACCGTATGCAAAATATTTTGTATTTCCATTTGAATGCTCTTTGCAAAATCAACGATTCCTTTGATCATAAAAAATGAATTAATGAACAATGTAATAGCATAAAGTAAATAAAATCCGACTGTGCACTGTGTAAAATGCACTGTTAAGATATTGTAAAAAATATTCCATTATATATATAAACAAAAAGCAATATTGCGAAAGAGAGTGGAATAGATTTTTTTTCAATATACGTACAATATTATATATAAGATGTTACAAATGTTAACAAAGCAAATATTAAATGAATGTTTGCAAAGTTTCAACAGAATTAATATCTATATAAAATTATATAAAACTAATGTAGCCTTCTACATTTAATAATTAACAAAACCGTTTTCTTTCTGCTTTTTAATATATTTCGCTTTTAGAATTTGCGATAGAAAATATTGATTTTGTCTGTTGTCTTTTCTCAGGAAGCAGAAAGTGCGATCGGCAACATGAACGGCCAATGGCTAGGTGGCAGAAGTATTCGGACAAATTGGGCCACTCGCAAACCTCCCGCACCTAAATCTGAAGGTAAGTACTTTCACATACTATGACCAAGAGTTTTGTTGCATACAACAGTGTAGCATAGAGCATGATTACTATCGTGATAGATGGTTTTCTTGACATAGCGGGTGAAAGTGTTTAATTGTTGCTGCAAACGAATGCAGGTATAATTCAATACGTATTACACATCACATAATCTCTTATCTAAACAAAGTAAATTTATCAAGTTTTTGATTATTTTCTAAAATTTCCTATATATATAAAATACAGAATTCGTGCATACAAGATATTGCCAATGATCGGAACGTAAAAATGCAATTGCGATTTTATGAGAATTTCATATCCTTACTAACAAAAGAAAGCATGTTAACTACAAATCTTGGATGGCAAAAGCTGAAAGCAATTTTGACGAGTCAAAGTCAGCCTGGCAAATAGAATATCGGTTCAATTTTGGAAAAGAAAATCAAAGGGTCGATACATATTTCCAAGTGCTCCGTCAAAGCGTTATATTTACGTCCACGGCATGCCTCGTCATGAATACCAAATCGGCGTTGCTAAATTAAATATCGCGCTCGTCGGTCGCGAATGCGGAAATTTCGCCGACGCAACTGGAATTCGATTAGGTCGGCGAAATTCTACCGCGCACAAATGGATGCGCACGGTCGCGTTATTCTGTGGAGTTCGAAAGGTCCGCCTCTTGTGCAACACTCGGTGAGTCGTTCGCACAGAAAGCTTTCACTGTGCCATTCAGGAAAGCTCGAAACGGCTTTACCACGAGCGGTTACTCTGCAAAGCGGGCTCTACAAAGGCAGCACTAGCTGTTCGAGTGTTTGTTAATCGATACCTTGAGATGGACTCAAGAGCCTTTTTTCAATGGATTGAGGCGGAGGAAGGAAGAAGTTCTACTCGCGTCGTACTATCATGTTCCCAGAGTACTGAGATTGATTTCAAAGCCTTGCGAGCGACGGTATGGATCCTGTGAAAATTTCCCGTAGCAATGGGGGTCAACAAATATTTTCTTTTCTCTCTTTTCTCTCTTCTAAAATGCATTTACTGACGGTAAGTCGTAAATCGCATTTCAAAATGCATCAAATTGAAATGATTAAATACGATTCTAACGAAAGAAAATTATAATCATCAGAAACATTAGCTAATATACAGTATATGCAGTATGATGATAGAAATGTTTAAATTTCTAAAATTTATGATACCGTATTTCTACTGTAACGTAATTATAATAAGTACAATAAATTTTAATCAAATATCTTGAACAAAATATTTGAATTGCAAAAGAGATAAACTATCTTTGCTTATGCAGCATCATCGCGGCCATGAATGAGATGAAACGTTCTCTTTCGCGATAGTAATTACTTGTATAATTAGGATGGTTTGAGACAACGGTTGGATGAAAGCCCTGGCTCGGTAGGGATAGTAAGAATCCAATTGAAGTTATGAACTAAACGCATAATGAGCTTGGAGGTAGCACTCCGAGGCCCCAAGTAAGTATTATTATATTATCATAAGCGGCTCTTCGTCGCCGAGTCGAGGACTCCATCGTCCATCCTCGAGAGTCACCTCCGACCCCTCGGCTAACTAATTTCATTCCGCAAGTCTTTAATTAGTATTCGTCGCGAGGCGTCCAAACTTTTTCACTAGGCGAGGGCTCGCAAACTCGACCTATCCGGATTGTTCACTCGTATTTGCATAGGCCAAATTCGCAGAAAGTACTTTCTTGCTGGCCACCTTTACGTGGTTAATATTCCCCGACGAACGTATCTTAAATTTCTCATAAAAGAAAATAATAGTTTCGTAGAGAAATTTATCTCGTTCGCCTTCTTGTACGCCATAAACATTCAGTTCTCGTGACAATTCTCAAGCACAGATATACGTTTTCGCGATTAAAAACACAACCACGTGGATTGCATTGATTTATAACTTTTACTTCCACCTTTACTGTAATTTACTTTTACTTCTGAACGAATCTATATTTAGGGTTTCACAGTAAAGTCCTGCATCGCGTTTGGTTTCGATATCTTATTCATTTTCATTCTAACTTCTAAGATCTTCTATAATACTAAGATCTAAAAATTCCTATCTTATTTCTTTTAACTAATACTAAGGAATGTCGATTATCTTGTTACGGATAATTTAAATTCTACTTTTTGAAGCAATAAAACTGCACATTATAGAAAACGCTCTCGTGTTTTATATATATGAAATAATTCGGTTCATTTATAAGAAAATGAATAAAAATATCAATTAATAACAATATATAAAAATACTAATAAATAAAAATATTGACATATAATTCACTTAATCATAAATTTATATATAATACATATGATTAAGTATAAAATTATTTAAAATAATATTCAGCATACATACATTCAAATGGAATACAAATTTAATTATCAGGTAATTATTGAAAATTTAGATCCCCAAATTTAGATTTCCAAATATATTAAATTATTATCTAATCTAATTATCATATAATCTAATCTAATTTTATAGAATCGTATTACAAAATATATTAAGAAGCTTTCCCCTCAATACGTATTTTATTCAAAGTACGAAATATTAAACTATTAACTATTTTAGATCTTTTATTTATTTACGTGTTCACAATTATAGTACATTAAAACATTTTTTAAATTAATACTGAAAAATGTATAGTATTTTACTTTATATCTACTTATAAATACGACTTTCAAGTATGTTGTTCACATTGAAGTATACAAAATCTTATTGGCGATCTTACGAGCTTTAGTGAAATCTCTTGTGAGTGAACAACTTGGCACACTATAAGCAAATTCTTACATTGTGTCGATGGCCAATCGTATACAACTAGAAAGTACATGTACGACATCGAGCACACTTCAAATTTATCATTTTGCATATATTATAATTCATGTTCCTATTCTAAAGCATTTGTAACTTTTTTCAAATACTTTACACACAAAAATTAGCAACATGTAAAAAGCCAAACTCTTGTAAACTTTTGTGTGTGTGTGTGTGTGTGTGTGCGTGTGCGCGCGCGTGTATACGTGTGTGTGTATGAAACAGCTAACTAATTTTATAATATAAATCTTAAAGAGACATTGAATAAATTCAAAATTACATATTTCAAAATATATAACAATTAAAATAAATATTTTCATTTATTTTAACACTAGGAGTATCAACACTTCTTTATACTCCATAAAAGGATCAAGCGAATAAATTACTATAAAAATAAAAAAAGTAATAAAAAATCAAATATTCCATTAGTTTAAAGGATTAGTTTAAAGGATAATTATTGAAAACTCAACACAAATTTAATTAGTGATTTTTGACAATTTATTGGCGTTTCTTAATTTTATTTAAACGAAAAAATATTTTTTTTTTTTCAATAAAATGAATTAAAATAAATATATCGTTAACATTTTATTTAAATATTTTTAATCTATATATGTATCTTTTTTCCTAAACAATGAAAATTTTTTTCTTTATCATATAACTATGTTTTTTTTCACATATCAAGGATTTCTACAACAATCTATTAAGAAAAGATTAATCTTCTAATAACGAGACAAAATAACGTTTAATTAAAAGATTCTGCTTGACTTTTTCCGTGCATGTTATGATTTATGGAGCACATTAAGCGACATGTATTGATATTATTTACTGCAATATCAGAATATGAAGCGTAAATTCGCTCTGATAAAATAAGATATCAAAAGCTTAGACAAATAAATAAGGTCAAACGATAAAAGAAAAAAACAATGCACCGTAGAAAATATTAAGGAGTACGGAATATACCCTGACTATAACGTAGGCGTGTCTACGAAATGCATTCAAAGAAAACAAGAGAAGTTCCGAATGCAGGTTTATTGGTTAGCATTTTACTCGGTTGAATTACACGCGCGCAGTAGAGTTTATATGACTCCGGACTTTTCTGTTCTTCATTTGAGTATCTTTCCAACAACGTTTCAGATGGTTGCGCCAACTCTCATCTGCAAATTCAAAACGTGGTGCACCATAACCATCGTTCTAGGACTGTTCTGCATACCTCAACGAAACGAGAAGACGTCACAACTACTGTATCGAAACTTGAGTTATACTTCAACAAATATCGACAAGGCAGTCGTCAAATGCAAATAAACAAACTGAATTGAGATAATTTGTTTGTGTCGCGCGCGAATATGGATAGGGTATGCCAAGGAGAGACGCTTCAATTTCAGTTGTATTTACCTTATATAAATGAAAAGGGTATAATCTTAACAAGAGAATCGAGTATGAACGGTATATCATATATAAGATAGATACATATATAAATTCTTGGTTATAATATTATAAAAGAAAGAAAACGAAATGAAAAGGAAGTTAGGGAACAGTTGGATCGTGCTAGCATTTAATTTGACTGAGTCCCAAAGTTACCCGGCAACTAGGCCAATATTTTATAGCCATGGCAATTAGATAATTTTGCGGTCAGGCAAAAATATGATTGTTGGCGTGTGAAAGGACAAACTTGGGCGCGGGTTAATGTCGAAAGTTTGTATCGCCACTAACATCGGACATAGTCGAACCAGGACTTGCGAGAGCACCAAACGATGACGTACACATATCCCGATGACATGGTGTGTCATTATAAATGCAACATTTAATGCAAATACATTTCTATTTACATTTTTTATATTTTTTCTTTTATAAAATTTCCGCTCTAAAGAATTGTAATAAATTTTATTTAGTTAAAAAATGCATTAAAAATTTCTTCTGTTATTTTAAGAGACCCGAATTTGGTCATACATTTGTTACTAAAATATTTTTTATAAATATATTTGTTACGTTATCATATATTCTACAGAAAAATATGCGTTTAAAATAAAACATATAGAAAGACCGCATTGAAATTTTATGAACCAATGGAAAAGTTTTGTATTTTATAAAAATATTATAGTTGCATCATATAACAGTATACATTTATTATTAGATCTCAGTACATAAGCTGAACGTGAAATGTATATTATCATGGTCAACCATTCGGTATG